CCTAGTCTAGAAATATATTTAAGGGCAGAAATTGGCCCTTGGAACAAACTGAAAAAATTATTATGGTCCGAAGGCTTTAAAGTTTGGAGACCCCTGTCTTACAGTATTACTGCTACGGATATAATAGATTACCTGGGACCTGATGGGATACCTTTATGTCTGAAAGTTACTTCTTTGCATGATCTACACGTCCATGTATAGAGTTACATATTTTCAAATTGATTACTTCCTTCCTTTCTTTGGAAGATTCCCTCATCCTTTTTTTTGTATCAAGATGGAGCAGTAGAAGGCCAAAAACTTTCTTTCCCAAACATTGGGAAATTATGTTGTTATTTCTAGAAAATGATAAGATGTATCGTTTCGATATGCTCAATTGTAAATAAATTGATGGATGTAGCCGTTACTATGTGGTAGGAAATCATAATGAAGAAAAGAGAATTGAAACTTTCTCTGTTTTTCATCACTTTTATTTGTAATTAAAGTTACTGCAGTTTCGTCTTATAAGGACATTTTCAAGCTTATACATTAAACGTATAAGTTTTAAATGATTCTTGGAACACCAGTCAAATAATAAATCGACTCCATTTTGTAAATTTAAGCAGTCTTCAGAATTGCCAGTTATTTTGTATAGCTTTAGATCATCAGATGTTTTGGGCAGTTTATCATTTTCGCCAGGTCATCAATGAAAAGCAGAAGTAAAAGAGGGCCTAAGTTTAAGCCTTGTGGCACCCCTAAGCTAGATGTGTACAAAAAGCACTGAAAATCTTCATGTTCCACGTATTGCTTTCTGTCAAAGAGATAGCTTATGAAAAGCTCAATTAGACTTCCAGAAAAGACGAATGATGATAGTTGCTGAATGAGGATGTGAAAATCAATTTAATCAAAGGCTTTTTGCATCTCCGTATAAACTAGTAGTGATGACACGCCTGAAGAAGCCATTGTATAGCGAAACACGAGTTGCGTTTTTGTAATACTGTTTAGTGAAAATCTCACAATAATAGTTATTTATGTATCGAGGACGTAAAATAGGCTTTTATGGACCGCAGCGCGGGTCACGGCTAGATCCATAAAAGCAAATTACGCCCGAAATACATGATGTCTTAGAGATAGATACCTCTTTGTTGTCTCCAACCCTCTTTTGATTGTATATCAATGACTTATTGGAAAAAACAAGAATCCAATATATTGCTTTGCTGACGACAGCACACTTGTCTCGTCATTCCATTTGGATTCCTACAGAGGCACATCTTCACAATGCCTACAATGCCACAAAAACCCAGGCATCGGGTTTCTCCAAGAAAATAAGAAAAATTATCTTTATAAATCAACAATTGAGGCAACATATAAATTATAGTACAATACCACCTCCACAAACCACATAAACAACAGTTGTTTTGTTATTTATTTATATATAGGAAGATAGGTTAGGTGCACAAAATGTCATATGTCACAGAATNTACATTTTATTTACTTTATACATTCTATACATTTTAATGTGTTATGACAAAACTTTACATTTGTCTTTTGTATTACTTTTTTATGTAGCTGACTAGTCCGATATATTTCTTGCAGGATGTAAGTAATTTCTATTGTTTACATTTGTGTATGAATTTTGTGGATGAAATAAAGATTATGATTATGATTATAGTAATATTAGCTGTGTATGAAGCATGAAATCGGGTCATACTAACACAAACAGCTTTGCCAGGTAATTTTTTATTCATTGCACGGGATCAGCATTTTTATAATAGTACAAGCATCAAATATAATAAATATTCATATACAATTTGAAATTTGAAGAAAAGACAAAATGCAAAAGTAAGACTTGGAGTAAACTCAAGCTCGTGAAAATGAGTAAAAGCACTAAGATAAATAGAGTTTTAGATTAAACAGAGATAAATGGCGAAAATAATATAAACGATACGTATAAGTTGAGAATTTGGTGTATAATTAATTTTTTGACAGGCCTATACCTGTGATCTCTAGATGTAGTTTTTTTCATTGAACATTCTAAATGAACAAGTGCACTCCATAGTTTGTATGATGGAAGGAAACGTCAATCAGTCTTTTTGGCACACCTACATGTAAGTGAATACTCTCGAGAAGTTCCGGGTGTTCAATAAGGTCATAAATTTATTTTTATATAAATATAAGGTCAGTATTCTCTCTTCTCTCAGACCTCAACATGAAGATGGCAGCACTCATAAAAAAAAGGTAGTAAATTTCGGTTTTCATCTGTTGACAGTTACTCACCAAAGTTTCAGCCATTTTGGATGCGTAGTTGTTACGTAACAGTCGACCAAATGATGGCAACAGCTACTTTAAAGGGGACTTTAGTTTAAAGTCTCCTTTCGGTAAAGTGGCCTTTAGATATTGATTATGACATCGGATCTACTTCTTATCTTACTTCGAAATTGTATTATTCTTATCATTTACTTTCAATCCACTGTATTGCATCAAGTACTACATAGCATTGTACTACTTATATTTGAATTGGGCTTGCCCGTGTATANCATCAAGTACTACATAGCATTGTACTACTTATATTTGAAGTGGTCTTGCCCGTGTATACACATAAGAAGTAAATTAGAAGTAGACAAAACATTAAGCGAGAGTGTAATGGCGGTCATCGATTTTTACAATTTTGTAAACTTCAAAATTCTGCCAAAAAGCGATTTTTTTAAAGAAAATAACAAAAAAAATATTCTTTTGGTACCTTTAAGTATCCCCTTAAAAGGTCAATAAGATTTCATTCTTTCTTTCTTTCTAATAATTATGATAGTTTTCGAGACCTTTGAAGCTTAGTTGGGTAAAGCAGAATTCAGAAGTATCATAAACAATTTAAAGTGGTATAAATATTATATGTCAAACGATCCAAACTCTTTAGTTGATATCTACGTGCGTGAATAAAAAGAAGTCATTCGGTGCCAAGTCAAGAATATACGGCGGATGACTCATCAAATCGATGTTTTGGGTGCTCAAAAATGCAGCTGTTTGAGTACCTATATGTGTGAGAGCTCGCATCGTCGTGGTGAAGAATGATTCGTCTTTGGCGGTTGGTTTTTCTAATTTCTTGGAAGACAACTGGCAAACAAATGGTTGTGTCTTGGAGTGAACTACGACCACGATTGAATTTACCGTACAATCGATAAACACTGATCCTTGATGGAGCTTCATCGCTAAAAACTGAATTGAGTTCATCCATGCTCTGTTGCTGAGTTAATCCACGTCGAACGTTGTAAAAAATAATCGCACGAAAATGTTTACGACTTAATTCCATTTTTCCACAAAGTGATAACAATTAGTGTAATAATTATAGACTCATTGCAATAACCCCGGTATTGTCAAAAGTTGTCGAAATTTTGTTTAAAGACGGGTGTAATGATTATCTTGAAGCAGGAGGATATAACAAAAAAAGACAATATGGTTTCAGAAAATTACACTCATCTATTCAAGCTAATAAATTCTTATCTTAAGTAAAAAAAAATTTAACATTCTTTCTCGGAGAGAATTTCCTTATACGATGAATGAAAACGTATGACCATTGGTCTATTTGAAAGGAATTACTCAGCTACATATCAAGATTGTTGTTATGAACAAACACATCTAGGACAGATGCCTCGCTATAATCCTGATTAAATCCCAGTACTTTTACGTTAAATAACTGAAAATAGGATCTTTTTCTATTTTCCAATTGAAAACTAGAAAAAATAGAAAGAAAAGACATGCAATGGTAGTACTTTACTAAATGAATGGTTCTCAGACAGCCTACACATAATTTTGTTTTTATTACTAAGTTCCACCTTTTAGAAATTGAAAATGCGAGATTTACTTGTATTGATATAATAAAAGATGAAAGATAGCAGATACAATGACGATTCGCTTCAATTCGAAATGTAAGCAAATATTTTAGACCATCCGCCTTTGTACTCTGCGAGATGATTTATATTCACAAACAACATTTGACCGTCGACCACCTTGAGTTCTGTTATCTGCGGCCAAAATGGGTTCAGCACCGAACACGCTAGGCAATTTTTACCTTTGTTTGAAGATGAAATACACAATTTTTACCTCTTGAAAAAGGTACACGAGACTGTACCTGGTCGGTCTATACATAGGATTTAAATTTTCATATTTCTAAAAAGAAGTACACATCTCATATTCCTGATTCAACCACCATACCGGATTATTTTCAAGCTAGTTCTTTTGAAACGATCTACAACCAAAAGCTTCTTCAAGATATTCAGAATGATATTCATTCTTGAGTAATAATGTACGTGTGTATATGTGACTTATCTTATTTGTATCTGTAAAGATCAATGAATATTTCTCTCCACTCTGTACCTATCAAGTATTGTTGAATAACTGAAAGTAGCACCGTTCTGTACTTTCCTATTGAAAACTAGAAAAAATGGAAAGGGACGGCACCCAAAGGTTGTACTTCACCAAAAGAATGGTTCACAGGCAGCAACACACGATTTTGTTTTTATTACTACGTTCCACTTATTAGAAATAAAAAATGCTAGATATACTTGTAATGATATAATAAAGGATAAAAGATAGCAGATACAATGACGATTGGCTTCAATTCGATGCAAATATTTTAGACCGTCCGCCTTTGTAGTCTGCGATATTCTGCCACTAACAATATTTGACTGTCAACCTGTTCCGTTATCTGCAGCCAAAATGAGTTCAGCACCGAACACGCCTGGTGATTTTTACCTCTTGGAAAAAGTACGTGAGATTGTACCTGGTCGGTCTATACATAGGATTTAAATTTCCATATTTCTAAAAAGAAGTACACATCTCATATTCCTGATTCAACCACTTATCATTCCGGATTATTTCCAAGCTAGCTCGTTTGAAACGATCCCTAACCAAAAGCGTCTTTAAAATATTTCCACACTCCGTGCTCACATAAGAAGGGATCTCATATTCGCAACTAAGCACTCGTTTCCTTAATTCATGTAGTGTTGGACCGTCAAAGGGTAAAGTTCTCGTTACGAGCACGAATAATATAACTCCCAATGACCAAACATCCACTTCGGGTCCATCATATTTTATGCGAAGAAAAATTTCGGGTGCTGCAAAATGGGGACTACCGCAAAATGTATTTAATTCGTATCCTGGCGTGAATTCATTTGATAGTCCGAAGTCTGTTACTTTTATATTCATTTCGCTGTCCAACAATATGTTGCTATCTTTCAAGTCCCGGTGGACGATTCCCTTTTCGTGGCAGTACTCCACCGCAGAGACAATTTGCATAAACTTCGCCCTGGCTTCCGGCTCTTCCATCCTACCGTGGCTTTCAAGATAGTCAAATAAGTCACCTCCAGAGACGTACTCCATAACAATGCGAAACGTTTTTTAGTTTCAATCACATGAAACAATTTCACTATGTTCGGATGGTCTAACATTCTCATTATTCTGGCTTCTCTATGTAATTTCCGTATCAAATCAGGCGTGAGTTTAATCTTATTGATGATCTTGATAGCAACTTTCTTACCGGTGGGTTCGTGCATGGCCAGTTTGACTTCTGCGAAGGCTCCCGTGCCAATGGTCTCGAATAATTTGTATCCACCATTTTTTACATATTTCTTTTGCATCGAGTATTTGTTTCTCTCAGTCGAGTCGTCTCCACTTTCATTTCTACGAAGTGAAAAGTGCCTAAATAGACTCCACATACACTTCATTTCGAGATTCACTTATACTTTCGTGTGTACAACTTTCTCTTGTACAAGAATCCTCTCTTCACAATGGACCAAATATTTCGTACTTATGCACAAACAATAATTTCATTCACACAACTCGTTGATCATATAATGAATGATAGAAACACTAACTTTTCTCTACTGGTGTACACTGTAGCACTAGAATAAATCTTAACAAAATCGCCAAAGCGACTTGCTATATACGACCAACTACCTGCTTAGGTGCCTGAAACTAGGTAGTAGGTAACTATTTGCACAGGTACCTGTAAATAGGTAAACGATTCTACATTATGTTGATTGAAAATCTTATCGAAAATTTTGGTATAAAGTACAGGAATGGATCAACTGTCCAATGATCGCGAAAGAATAGCACCTAGGCTGACTTTCGATCGAAAGAGGTCAGATGTCAATCTTGCTGAAGTGCCCATCAGTAAGTTGAGGAACTCGGAGAGCGGGGGTGAATGGAGTGGGGAAGTAGGTTCTCCTCGCTAAATAACTGGGGGGGAAGCTTCTACTTCAGGGCACTCAACCCGGGAGGGGGCGTGGGGGGCTGTCCAATGATTGGAAACTGGCTCAAATTGAGTTATGTTGGCTAGATTCATCTTCCCACCGATGGATCCGGGGAGGATCTCGTAAAAATGACTGTAAAAGATTCAGTATTCTTGAGCCCCACAAATGAAAATGAAATATAACGCGAATAAGTCAAGCAACAATGTCAATTATTCTGTCAAATACAGATCCCAATATGAAATGAGAAGGAGAGTTGTAATGAATGACCGTCGGGTTTGAATTGGCGGTCTCTGTATACTACTAATGATACATAATAATGGGCTTGTTACATGCTATGGAAAAAGATACTGGTTTGCTTATAGACTGATCGATTTAGGGGTATATTATAATTATCAAGCCTAATCGGTGCCAAGATCTCTTTATATTTGCAGTAAAAAGAAAAATTCGAAAAGCAAGAATTTAAATTGGCCGCGTGTCTGTTGACCAATAAAATTGATCGAGTCTAAAGCGGAGTTGCCAAG